GGGGAGCGCACACACACACACACACACACACACAAATAAAGAGAGCAAAAGTGAGAGCCGGGAAAAGAGAGAGAGATTTATTGTCTCATCTGAGCCCCTGTACCTTGTATTGTCCTTTCAGCATCTGTTCTTCCACTGCTGCGGTCACTCTCCATCTCAGGGGTCAGGGAGTCTGCGAAAGGAGAGGGATCACCGCCGTTAAACACGCCTGACATCCACCTATCACGGCCCTGCTTTTACAGCATCGTTCACCCCCCCCCCCCCCCCAAAAAAAAAACAAGAGACCAACAAGCCTTCAAGCGATGTCGATGCTCGCTGTCAATAAGACAAAAAAAAGTGCCACTCTTTGTCACCTTCTTTAATGAGCAAAAACAGATTTAATGTTTTGGAATTAAAATCAAACTTTAATTATTTGTTCCCAAAAACAGAGTGAAACTTGTATTAATGGATTAAAGTTAGTCTGATAGTTAAAGAAAAAAAAATGCGGATCTGATGTGTCAGAACTACCGTAGTGTAAAATTCTGTTCTGCATGATTGACTGTACGCAAAAATTCATTGAAAAAAAATTACTTATTCTAAGAACTACATTTTTTGCTTTGTAGAATTGAGAAAATGTGGTTGAATGAAAATAATAAGTTGTAAAATTTCACCTGCCTACCAGGTGAGTTTTCACATCAGAGGCTAAATATTTGGTTAATAATTCCAWTAAATGAACTTTAAATATTTAGGGTCTCAGTGTTTTATCTTTTAGCAGCAGAGGTTTATAGAAACAAAATACATTAAAATCATAACTTCTACTTTAATCTAATTTAAAAAAAAATAAAATGACACTTTATCTTCTTTACTTTAAAATTTAACACCTTGTTACATGTAACAAATGTAGATATGATCAGACATGCACTCTAAAAAATGAGGTGTTTGTTTTTACTTAACCAAGTTGCATCAGCTGATTCTACTAAACTGAGTGGAGTACATTCCCTTAACTTGCTTTAGTAGGAACAGTTGATGTAACTTGGTTAGGTAAATTCAACACTTCATTTTTTAGAGTGTGTGTAAAAGTACTTTTATTTCCCTCATGTTTATGAGGAATTTTATTACTTTTATTTCATTATTTTTCTTGTCAGTGAATTTCATTTCTACCTAAGTCCTTTCCTGTAAAGGTATTTTTATTTTAACTTTTTTTTTTTGCAAGTACTTTACACACCTCTGATAATCAGCTAATTAAATCATAACMGAACAATTACTAGTCGGCAGCGGTTTTTGCTGTTCTATAAATTAAAAGTAACTATTTTATACTAAATTAAATCTAAGGAGACATAAAAGACAGTTTGTACAAAGAAATAAAAAGGTAGAAAGTGTGATGCAGGAAAGTCTCACTGTAGCTCATCTGACCGTTGAGGGAACGCATGCTGTCAGAGGGCGACGGCTGCTTCAGAGTCTGCTCAGCCTGCTCCCTCCGTTTGGATTCGTACTCCAGAGCTTCTTGAAGTTTCCTCTTGGCCTTTTTCTCCTTCTTCAGACGCTTCTGGATAATTGCTAGGGGGTGGGGGTTGGGGGTGCAAAACCACATCCACGATAAATGAGCTTTGAGATAAATTAGCTACGATTTTTTTTCCTTTTTATGAAATCTGATTATTGCACTGTTTCGACAAGCCAAAGATAAAAAAAACCATTTTGGTTGAAATCCAGCGAGCAATTATAGAAAAAAAAAAGTGAAAATCAATTAAAGCTAAATATTTTATGATATATAAAGATTTAACTGAGAAAGTCTGAGCAAATACTGACTGTGACTTAGCAAACGGCTAGAGGGAATTAAAGCTAATTGAAAAATTTATTGGGATATTTTTCATGGATTTCTCTCATTAAACATAAACGATACAGTTAGCGCACGACTCTGATGCATTTTACATGAGCCTGAGCCCAGGCTTTGCATGGGATGTGGATTTCCAATTATGTTAACAGACCAAGAACAGGAAAACCTATCAGTTCTATGTGGAACCGGAGCGGGGCAGAGTGGCTTACGCGTGTCTCGCTACCAAACACCACACGTGTGTCAGCGCGTACAGGAGCTGCAGCAGCTAAGCAAACACAGGTGTGTGAAGTCTGGGTACACACTAGTCCTCGTGCTTAGCCACACACACACACACACATGCGCACAGAGGCAGGTAGTTTTAAGGCAGTACCTCTGTTCTTCTGCTCCATGGCGAGCTGCTTCTCCAGCGTCTCCCTGAGCTCCCTCTCTCTGAACAGCTCCATCTTCAGCTCCGTCTTCTCCAGCTGCACCTGCTTCTCCTGAGCCCGTGCGTTGTCGATCGCCACTTTGAGCAGGCCCTGCGTGCACACACAGAGAAAGACACACACACTTAAATACACACACACGATTTAAAAAAAAAAGGAGATCAGGGAGAAGGCAAACCGGGAGTGATGTGGGCTATTTAAGAGCTTTAAAGTAAAGCAGCAGCAAAACCCACCCTGAAAGTGTGTCGCTGTAGTTGTACTGAACAGGACCACCATCGCTCCTTTCACATGATTTCTTACATGATCTGGTCATTCAATCTTTTTAGAGTTATAACTTCTTTTTCAAGAAATCTAAGAACAGAAACCTAAATCAACTACAGCATTTTAGTGATAAGTATCAGTTTACTTTTAATAAATGGGTAGATCTTGACAACATGTTGCTGGAATTGGCACAAGAAGCTGGTACCACTTTGTAATATATCTTTATAAAAGACCAACAAATATTCAACAATACTTTTTATTAGACTGTAAATTCATAATAAACATTAACACATTGTTACAATGGATTAGATAAAAATACAATAGTGCAATTTATCACTCATCATTCTCACTGTTTACCTGCAGTATTCAGTTTAGAATATTAGCTGTAGATACACTGAGCCACTATAAAAATTTTTTTTACCTGAAATAATAAAACATTTTAATAATGCCAAATAGGAAGCCCACTTCAATGCATAAACATTGTTTTAGAATTGTTTAAGGTTTATAAAATGTATACATTTATAACCTTGTTATAAAGCATTAGTACATCCTTTATAAAGGGGCTCTTATTGTGAAGTGATGCTGAGAGGTTTGATGCAAAGGAAAGCATGAAGGATGACACAACAAAGAAGAAAATCAAATTAGAAAAGACAACTTCATCCTTTCACATTTTGTACAGTACTGTGCAAAAGTTCCAAGTCATCCCTCATTGGTTAATATTCTGCTGCCAAAGAGACATGTGTTTTTATGTCATCTTTCAAGTGGTCTTGATTAACAGTTCTTTAGACTTTCTGTATGCTTTTAGAAGTTTGTTTTCTTTTTTTTTTTCATTTTTATTTCAGTACTGGACCATTTTATGTTTACTGGATATTTCTTATTTTTTATTTTTTTATTGTTTGTTTATATCAAATAACTCTAATGAGAAAAAAGCAGCCAAAGTCCAATAAATTTTTAAAGATCTTCAAAGGGACAAAGAAGTATTGATCAAGTCTACTTTAAAAGTTTAAAAAGAAAATCTGACTCTTTCGAAGCATCTTTGATTGATAATTCTAGAAGATGAATTGCTCATATGGTTCAAYATTTTTTTWAAAACACTTTTTAACATTTATGTCTGCCTTCAAATGCAATAAATTATTTTCTGAAAACATCATCCAAAGCATCATCTTGAAGGCTCTCCACTCTTCTGTGAAAGCAACCTGAAGACTTTCATCACAATTATTCTCCATCCACATGCAATTATATCAAAGGCACTGGACTATGGCTTACTAATTGTTGATTCTTCTAACCCCAATTTATTCTAAGTTGCTTTATCTTCATTTTCTGCTTGGTTTCATTTTGTTGATTTGTATATAAATATTCCAGGCGCAGATCATTATCAAAGATGACTAAGAGGAGTGTTGGGAGCTCGCGATGGCGTTTTGTTGTGGCACTCTAATTACCACACGGAGCCAAAGGAGAAGCAGGACTCTGATGCCAGTGGAACGAGTGCAATGAGAAGGGCAGCGGGGTCCACACATCATTACACCCAGAAAAGAAGGAGAAAGGCATTCATCTTTCTGATTGAGGGGCTTTGAGCTGAAGCCTGAGCAGCACTCTGAGTAGATGGGTGCTGTTAGTGGGAATGTTTCACTGGTCCCCGAATGCATGGTAAATAAGATTGTGGGAGGATAGTGAATGGCATCTAAGTTGGAAGGGGAGGGGTAAATACCCCCTTACACATTTTCATCTATGACAGCAACTTATATCAAACAAACAGCAGCTGCACAAAAAGTACACAAATCCCATTTTTTAAGGTGAATCGAAAATCAATTTGTTTTAGCCTTTTTAAGGATTACTTGGCAAAATACATACATCACACCTCCATTAATGACAGGGTGTAACTAGAACCACAGTTTTTGTTCAATCTTGAAAATAACATTAAGTTAAATCTAACCAGCTACTGCTAATCATCACACAATCTGTTAGCGCTCAGAGTACGTTCTGTGAACAACTCTCAGCTACGACCACATCACATCTCAGGAGCTGTAAAAGTGGCTGAGCTGTGGCCATTTCTGTGTAGGCTACAGACGATTAGCTGTGGTGCTCATCTTGAGTCACACTAACACCAAAACGTCATCAGTTGTAGACGAACATCCAGTGATTACCATATTTATTCGTGTATGATACGATCTCATGTATAATACGACCCCCCCATGTTTATCTTAAAAAGCATAAAAAATGTAATTCTCATACTACCACTAATTTCATATGGACTTCAGCATTTTTCATCCTTTGCAGTCTTT